ATGGCAACCGAAGAAAACGAAAAAAGGTCAAAAAAAACCGAATTAAAACTGCACACGAAAGTTCGTTGACCGTTGTCTTATTATCAGCACTGTACTCTTAAAGCGCGCGCAACAGCTAGTCGAATAAAAACACAAGTAAAATGCAGATAGCGAGAGCCAACGCGTCTGTATGTAGATGTATATATGCTTATGTACACAGACTCCTCTTTACTGCAAATTACCGCATGACACTTGCTCGTACATATGTATGTATATAAGAGCGGTTTTTAATTGCTGCCGAAACTAGTAACAACTAGCTCAATTTTAATTTTATTAATTTTATGCAACACTATAATGTTATATAAAAAGAATCACGTCGGGGTCACCAAAATGTTGGGCTAACAAGCTTTTTTATTAGCACTTAATAGCGAGAAGTTAAGGATGTTATAAAAATGCCGCTTTTTCTTACAAGTTCATGCAACGGGTCGATTTATTTATTTGCTTATAGCGAGCGTATTGATAATATGCGAAAATGTACAATTTTTAGCGAAGCGATCAATAAGAGATTCGATATAGCGAACATACGACACAATAATGCATTGCAACGTCGCTAGCATTGATGCGCTAGCCGCTTAAGAAAGAGTCCAAAAGGTAAAAGAGCGCGATAACAGAAACATCGCTGAGAGCAAAGCGATAAGCGCTAGATAGTTAACAGCAAATAATATTGAGCTATTTTATGACATGCGAGAAGCGCCAAATAAAACAATATAGTGACATTTCTTGCCTCGCAGGGCAATCTGTAACTGAAATGTTATGCGAATATAATACTAATTTAATTTTTAGCTGCTGAGCCGAACATTGCTAATAACGTCTTTTTTTTCTCCTATTTATTGTATTTTCTTATATAATAATATAAAGTTAAGATTATATTTAATTTTTACTTAAGAACACTATTTTATCTACTAGCTGTAGGCTCTAATAGAGTTACTGGCAAAATTAGCTGTGAAAAGAGGCATAGCTGGCCGGACGGGCAAACAAAACACCTCCTGCTGAGTTGCTATTAGAGAATTGTGTATTGTAATTAGGCAATCGTTTCTGTCGCCCATTAAATAAATAAATGAATAAATTTGAGCCGCCGTGCCTAGTTCTTTCTGAGCTACCTCTTCAGATTATAATAGTCTTTGTTTATTTGCATGGCGATTGTTTATTTTCAACCTCAGTTTTTCCACCTGAAACTCGTTGTAAGCTATGTCTTTGTCAACCTGGTTCAGATTTACTTCTTGAACTTTATGAATCCTATCCCTAATTTGCTATTAGTATTCTATTGGGGTTGAGTGTATTATTTCTTAAAGTTTTTTGTTGGTGACGGAGTGGACTGGATCGACAGTTTAGTCTAACTGCCTCTCTAGCTTTAGGCACCGTGTTATTCCGGTGATATCCAATGTAAGAATTCAGCATTTGAGTCTTGAGTATCGAAGTTATGTTCCAAAATGGACCTGATAGTTTCGGAGCTAAGTGTACTTTCATTGTCGCTATATAATGAGCATATGTTTGAGAATACTTTAAACAGTTGCAATTGTGTATTCGAGTCACAAGTTAAGATATATATTATTTATTAACGATGTCAGTGCTTTTTTGTGTTGTTTCTTAAAATATTAATTGAATTGAATAACTATCGATATTGTCGATCAGTTTTTCTGTCGAGTAAAAGATTTGAAGCGGAGCTCATGCGCATTTTTGCCGGGAATGAGGATTTGCCGAAAAGTGTTTAATTTTAAATCTCATGGAGGAGGAAAGGAGGGAAAGGCCTGAGGATAAGGTCTAAGTCCGGAACATGAAAGCTAATTGGAATTATTCACCAAGGGAATAAGCTGGCGACTGCGGCTTTAGATGGTAGATCATCCTTTATTAGCAATAAAGTGCGGCATGCAAATGCACCGTAGTTAATGAATGCGATTTACATACAATCTACGCCAGTTCCTCGATAATTCTACCACAGCACACAAGCGACTAAATATCTGGCACACAACAACTGATCGGCAACTGTAAAAAGGGGTTTCCACTTAGGCATTACATATCCTCTTTACATGTATCGTGCCCAGTTATAGGATCGCAATTTTGTGTGCTCCAACATACATACATCTGCCACCTGAGTGACATTGACTTCACATTGGTATTGAATTCCTTTTACGTGCACTATCCGCTTTAACTACAGCGAGATCTTCGAAAGGGAATTCAAATTATTATGATTTACCTGTTTGGAGTGCAAGAGAACATAAGCATAAGAGCATTGTTTCCGGAAGTAAATTGGGGCAAAACGTATAAAATGTAAAGGTTAAACTGGCATTTAGTTAGGAAATTATGCATTTGTGATCAAATCAAAGCATTAGAAAAATGATTATTAAGCTTTCGTACAAATTAGTCGTTGGAGCAATGGCTCCAAAAAAGAGTAATGAGTAATAATTCCTTTACGCGCAACAAAAATTATATTGCAAAACAATATGCTTTAATAACACCTCAGAGTGGGAAGCACGGTTAAGCCTAATTGAAGCAAATTATTGTCCGTTTTTTTAAAATCCAAGCCAAAACGGAACAGGAGAGTGATGATACTAGTGAATATGATAGTCGCCAACGATTAAAGAACTTTATTTGCAAATTAAAGGCTAAAATACTAAGTAGTCTGAGTCATACAAGTCGACCTGCTAGTAGTCATGATGTATTGAACAGCACACAGGGAAGTACACCGAGTTGATCAGTTGGTTCAATACATTTACTATGCTCTTAGGTTCAGATGCTAAGCTTAATGACTTAATGACGAAGCTATCCGCTTTAGTTCTCGTTCCTTTAGGAACCATTGATTGTTGGGAAGCCTCGGGTGTTAACTACCATCGGTCCCTACGGTTATTGCAAGACAGTCATGAAACAAGGCAATTATGTCCAATCCCACATAAATGAGATGTTTAATCTGAAACGAGTCAAGAATGTGGACTCGGAGACTGAGAGTACTTGCAGACAGCGTAAGCTCCCAGTTAGCTGCCCTTAAATCTCTTGGCACTGAGCAAGACGTTTTCGACGCGCTAGTTTTTCATTTGATCCGCAGTAAACTTGAGAAGACATTGCAAAAAAATACCTTCGTGGCCATTGCTATCGCAATTCTTAATAAATAGAGGCATGAGCTTGACTAATCGAGAACTTCCGCGGAACAATTGTTCTCGACCCAACGGCCAAAACCTATTAAAGAAAGCTTTTGTAGCTGTAGCCAGCAGCAACACTAGCAAATCGTGTTACATTTGTGCGTTAAAGACGTGCAAATCACATTTTTCCGACAAGTTTCCCTCTAGATTTGAATTGGAAACTACCCAATGGAGTAACCCTTGCGGATCCGACATTTGACTATTTTCAATGAATTGACATCCTGTTGCAGGTCAACTCAAACTAGGACAAAAATTGCCTGCCCTAAAAAAATCACTATTAGACTGGGTCGTTGGCGAGCTTACACCCAGCGCTAGCGTGTCGCTGCTAGCCACGAAGAGGGAGCAGAATTTGCCGACCTGTTATAAGCTGCAAAAGCAAGTGCAACGCTTTTGGATATGAGAGAAAACACCGCAGCCTATTGAAAAATTCACTGAAGAGGAAACACAATGCGAAAACAGAGTTGAATATTTCATGACGGTTTTCACGGATAATAATCCAACAATTTTTTTAATTAGTTCATTAATTTAATTGTTGAACGCCGTTTAGGAAATTCTGCCGAACGATTCTCTTTTCTGGTGACAAATACAAGAAAACTTCTTTCCTTTACATGTTTATTGCTTCTGCCTTTCTGCAGAGCTCGAGAACAATTCCTGCTTACAAAAATCGGAGAGGTTTGCTGCTGCTAAGATGAGCAACAACAAAATCAACGCTTAACAGTGCTCTTTACATTAATTAAGGAAAACTGTTAAGAGCGTCTGTTATTTAAGTGCGTGCGTGAACTATCGCTGCACTCTGCATGTTTATATTATTTCTTAGTTACTTGGTTTTGAGCTGTTTCAAAAGCTTCGTTGGACAATCTAAAGATGGCCATTAAACTGTAGCACTTCCATTTAAAAGTCCCAAGAAAGTACCAGGGGATACATACCAAATTGTCCACAGTGTCTTATTAAACGATACTATGCTTGTTGGGCCGAGCTTGCAGCCCGATCTTTTTGAGACGATGACTTGATTTCTCGTTTATAGGTTCGCCCTAACAGCAGATATAACCAAGATGTATAGGCAAGTTTTACGTGCTGGATTCCAAGTTTCATATATGTGCTATTGAATTGAACTTTAATGTTCACATTTAATTTTTTTTTTATACCCTGAACCCATTAAAATAGGGTACAAGGGTATATTGTATTTGTGTAAAATCCAAATGTATGTAACTGGCAGAAGGAAGCATCTCCGACCCCATAAAGTATATATATTCTTGATCAGCATCAATAGCCGAGTCGATCTAGCCATGTCCGTCTGTCTATCCGTCCGTCCGTCCGTCCATCCGTCCGTCCGTCCGTATGTATGAACGCAAGGATCTCAGAACCTATAAGAGCTAGAGACTTGAAATTTTAGATGTAGATTGTTTCCGATAATCGATAACTTACTCCGTTTCCAAGCAATCGATAAAAATCTATATCGATATCCTGTTTTTTGTGCAATTTTGGTAAATAATAAGAGCTAGAGTCACCAAACTTGACATATAGCTTCTAAAATAGAATATATATATGCATTTGATATTGGAAAAAGAGGGTTCAGGTATCCCCTAGTCGGGAGCTCCCGGCTAGAACCTCTTACTTGTTTTTTTAGTCAGCTAATAATTGCATATTATTCGATCTTTAATTAAAAATAAAATACATATAGTGGTAGATAATGTGGTAGATATGTCACTATACACAATGTGAGGCAAAAGATGCCTAAATACACTTTATTTTGATTACATTTTATACGATCTGAACTATTAGATTTAATCCATAATATATAAGAAAGTAATATGCATTTCATTACAGGTTACTCTATCCATCTCGATTCTCATTAGTCTTCATGTGTTTTTTCTTTTGGTCGTGGAAATTATTCCTCCAACATCGTTAGTTGTACCACTGTTGGGTAAATACCTAATATTTGCTATGATATTGGTTTCTATAAGGTAAGTTATTGGTTTGTTAATATTTAATTCATAATATTAAATTGTTTGTTTTATTGTTTAGCATTTGTGTGACTGTTGTCGTACTGAACGTTCATTTTCGTTCTCCACAAACACACAGAATGGCACCCTGGGTAAAACGTCTTTTCATAAACTTTTTGCCTAAATTTCTTTTTATAAAAAGACCAACTTATAACTTTGAAACAAGGTAAGCTTATATATTTTTTATATTATATTATCAAATATTTAATGCTGAGTTATTTATATATATTTTATTAACACCAAATATTGTCAAAAATTAAGCACCAAGCTTAACTCGGTAAAAATAGCTTTCATGATGCATCATGCATGATAGATGCATCGTTGTTTCGATTCAAGAAATAAAATATTCTTAATCTTTACACATTTAAATTGAGACGACCTGCAGAAAAACATATAAGTAATGGCACAGCAAGCATTTTCTACTTACCACGCATTTTGCGTCCGGCTTACTAATACTTTTTATATTTTTATATCTGCCTCCAACTGCATGGAATAACCCAATTTTCTGGTTGTTTCTACCTATGCAGTTGATTCCATAACTATTAAATTGGGCTTGGAAAGTGGCAAAGTGCAAATGTTTAATTTAATTAGCAGAGGAAACGAGTGGCTTACATCTACCTAAGCTTGCATTATAGTTGTTCTTATTCAGTATCTTTCTGATAGTCATTGGGTATTCTTATTTATTTTTATTTTTGGATTCATTTCAGTCTTGCGGGGGCTATCTTGTCACGCAGTTCTTTCGAGGCTATGAGATCCTTAAAAGCGATTTATGATGCTGTAAATCATAAAACGGTAGTGTTGGGCTAACAAGCTTTTTTATTAGCACTTAATAGCGAGATGTTGAGGATGTAATAAAAATGCCGCTTTTTCTTATTAGTTCATGCAACGGGTTAATTTACTTATATGCTTATAGCGAGCGCATTAACAATATGCGAAAATGTACAATTTTTAGCGAAGTGATCCGATATAGCGAACATACGAGACAAGAGTGCATTGCGTTATTGATGCGCTAGCTGCTTAAGAAAAAGTGCATCAGGTAAAAGAGCGCGATAACAGAAACTACGATGAGCGCAAAGCGATAAGCGCTAGATAGTTAACAGCAAATAATATTGAGCTCTTTTATGACATGCAAGAAGCGCCAAACAAAACAAAATAGTAACATTTCTTGCCTCGCAGGGCAATATGTAATTGAAATGTTATTCAAATATAATACTAATTCAATTTTTAGCTGCTGAACCGAATAGGTAGCTTTCCATAATTTTTCTGATCTAAGCATATGATTCTGTAAAAAAAAATAAGCTTTGGGATTGAGTGGTTTTCTCTTCAAAATGTAATTCTAATTGAATAAATATATATGGTTTTAAACAACGGTAGATCGCAACACATGTTATTGCCAATGGCGTTGCAAGATTTTAAAAAAACATAAAAATAAGTCGAGTAAAAAACAAAACTTTTGTACCAGGAAAAAAAATTAATATAATGTTATTTTTAGAATAGGTTTAACGACTTTTGTATGAAATATATTATTTTATAAAGGAAAATTATTTTAGATCGATGTTTGCTACCAAAACAGTGCGTATCAGTTCACCGCAACATAATTTCCAACAACTTTCACAACTTTGTTTACATAGAAATGCAGTACCAACTTTAACAGCAATGAACCTTTACCTATCAACCAACCACCTATCAACACTTACTGTGTGTTGTGTGTGCTATGCAAATACTGTACTTAAAATGATCTACTTTTGGTTTCTAATCAAAAAAAACAAAACTGGTATTTATCAGATAAATCTTAATGCAGGAGGTTTTAAGATAAAACAAGTAAGAGGTTCTGGTCGGGAGCTCCCGACTAGGGGATACCCTGAAGCCTCTTATTCCAACACCAAATAAATTAATAAAAAAAAGTTCCCTTGGCAGGGCTCGAATTTGCAACTGACCGCATTACTTACTGTCGACTCTACTCAACAGCCACACCAGCAAAAAAAAATAATAATAATACTTTCCCTGGTTGGGCTCGAACTCGCGACAGACCGCATGACTTGCTATGCCTCTACTCAACAGCCACTCCAACAATTAAGTACTTATGATAAAAAAAGGAACTAAAATAACATTACAAAAAAAAGATGCAATTACCATGCTATTAGAATGCGAAGCAGACGCGCATGAATGTGTGTGTGTACATGTATACAGAATTCAATTCAATTCAATTCATTCAATTGCGCAGTTGCATATAACTTTGGTTTTTCTTAACCGATCATTATGAAATTTTCTACAGTATATCTTATTGTTCCATAGAATATTTGTGTATTCTGAAAAAGTCAATTGCATTTAAATTGTGGTTTAAATTGGTTGGCAATAAAAGTTGGGTTATTAACTTGATTAATAGCTCTAGGGTGGTAGCGGGGAGGTGCCGATAGGTATGAAATGAAAGATACTTGAAATATCTATAATATTCTAGAAGCAACATATCATGTTTGGTGGCTCTAGCTCTTATTATTTACCCAATTTGCTAGAAAAAACAGGATGTCGATATCGACATCGATATTTATCGATTGCTTGGAAACGGAGTAAGTTATCGATTATCGGAAACAAACTGGATCTGCGCGGGAGCTAGGAGCATCTACATCTAAAATTTCAAGTCTCTAGCTCTTATAGGTTCTGAGATCCTTGCGTTCATACATACGGACGGACGGACGGACGGACAGACGGACATGGCTAGATCGACTCGGCTATTGATGCTGATCAAGAATATATATACTTTATGGGGTCGGAGATGCTTCCTTCTGCCAGTTACATACATTTGGATTTTGCACAAATACAATATACCCTTATACCCATTTTTAATGGGTTCAGGGTATAAAAAGCACATTTAGCTTTAAAAATAAGCCAGATTAAGCTCTTGATCCGGAAATGTTTTAAAGCTAAACATATCTTTGTATATCCGATTTCTGAACTTTTCGCAAAATACATAAAATTCCTTAATGATGTAAATGATAAACTCAGAAAAATCACGTAAACCTGAAAAAAAAATTTAGTCATTTATTTCGCACCACGGATGAATTTTGAGTGAGAAATCGAAGTGAGAAATGCTGAACATCATCAGGAACCAATTATTAAGGCTTCAAGCAAATATATATGCATATATATAACTGTCCCTGATCTGATTTACCTGAAATATTATTACCTATTCCATTAAACGATCGAAAAACATGATTTTCATATCGACTTTGAACGATTACTTGGATGTGGGGTAAATTATCGAGTATCGGAACCGAAGTAGTACCAGGCGAGGCCGGCGTTCGGCTGCCACTCTCAGCAGTCTTACTATGTCTGGGCACACTAAAATGGTCGCAGGTACCCTTGGGGCTGCCTCCTTTCGATTTTTTTTGTTTCGATAAAAAGGGCCATTTGGTATGTCTATACATTGTATGAGTAGTGGTAGTACTGCGCGGGTACTAGGAGAACCTACGTTCAAAATTTCAGTCTCTAGCTCTTAAAGGTTATGAGATCCTTGCGTTCATACACACGGACGGAAGGACGGACGGGCAGAAGGGCATGGATAGATCGACTTGGCTACGGATGCCATAATAAAAATAATAATTATATATACTTTATTCTTCCTTCTACCTGTTATATAAATTTTTCTCAGAAACATTATACCCTTCTTAAACGGGTTTACGTTATAAGGCATATGAATCAATTAATAATAATATATATTGTTGGGCTAACAAGCTTTTTTATAAGCACTTGATAGCGAGAAGTTAAGGATGTTATACAAATTCCGCTTTTTCTTATAAGTTAATGAAACGGGCTGAATTATTTATATGCTTACAGCAAGCGTATTGACAATATGCGAAAATGTACAATCCGATATAGCTAACATACGAGACAAGAATGCATTGCGACGTCGCTAGCATTGATGCGCTAGCCGCTTAAGAAAAAGTGCAAAAGGTAAAAGAACGCGATAACAGAAACTACGCTGAGAGCAAAGCGATAAGCGCTAGATAGTTAACAGCAAATAATATTGAGCTATTTTATGACATGCGAGAAGCGCCAAACAAAACAAAATAGTGAGATTGCTTGCCTCGCAGGGCAATATGTAACTGAAATGTTATGCGAACATAATACTAATTTAATTTCTAGTTGCTGAGCCGAACATACTCCCCGCGTTGAACGATTGAGCTTCAACAGGATCGTTAAGGGGAAGCAGACACTGCTTATTAGTTGCTCGCTTAATGATTCTATTAGCAGTCTTGAGAACTGCAACGCGTGTGAATTCATCAGTTACTTATACCAATTCAACCACTCTACTAGTGGCCATTTTAGAGGAGATTAGTTCTCGTCTTTGACAAGAACGATGTCATTGAGAGCCACACCTTGCTTGAGAGTCCCCCATTTGGAACGCTGTAGCAGAAGATTTAAATATTCTTCTCGCCAGCGAGACCAAAAGACTTGGTGCATGTAGGACACTCGCTGCCAGCTATCTAGACGATTAAAATTGAGCCGTGTCACATCTGGTTCTGTGAACGTGGCTTGTGGGCCACCAAAAAATGAGCTGGGGTAGGAACATCAAGGTCTTCTAGATCTTCTGAAATGGGAAGCAGTGGTCTAGAATTAACGGCAACGGTACGAAGCTCTTCGAATCCCAGAACAGTTGACCCCAGAACCCGATAGAAGTGATGTTTTGCAGTTTTTAGCGCAGCCTCCCAAAGGCCACCAAAGTGAGGGGAGCGCGCTGGAATGAAGCGCCAGTCAATTGTGTCCGTTAAACAAAACTGGAGCACAGCCTCTTGATGACAGATTCTGAGGAAGAGATTTTTAACCTCAAAAGCTCGTTTTTGGCGTCGACAAAGTTGATCGCATTGTCAGACCAAATCTGACGAGTGCATATAAAGCGCTTTAGAGCATTGAGAAATGCACACGTAGATAGATCCTTGACCAACTCCAAATGAATGGCTTTCGTGGCGAAGCAAATATATACGCTGATGTAGAATTTTATAGGAGCTTTGTTTCGAGTGTCAGGCTTGTAGAAGAATGGTCCTCAAAAGTCCACACCAGTCTTATCAAACGCTCGAGTTTTAACAAATCGCTCCTTTGGAAGATTAGCATTTACATGCTCCACCAAGCGGGGCTTGTTCCGGAAAACTGTTTTGCTCCCAACAAGGC